GACAGAGCACCTGGCAGGCAGGGTCTACGCTCCAAACCTACTTGACCTGTGTTAAGTTCTCATGCGATGAGGTCCCCACTCTGACCCAGTCCCACCTTGGCAGCCACCTGCCAGTGTCTTTTCCATGAACATCTTGTTCTGCCTTCCAAAGTGACGGAGCACTTCATGCCACCATGATTGACTTGGAATCTGTGTGCTTTCAGAAGCTACAAAGCATCTTTGTTCTTGGTGCTGATGATCAGATTGGACCACAGGAAAATGTTTTTATACCATAAGTCATAATGGATGTTTTCAGTTGGCTCTTCTGCTAGGTCTAGTGCTCGGGAGTTCTTATAATTAGACCCAGCCTGCTGGGGAGAAGGGCCTGAACACTCTTCCCAGAGGAACTATGAAGACGCAGCAGTGTGATGAAAACACCTCAGGGACCCGTGTGTGCCTGGCCCCCTCGTGCTATCTGGGCTGTAGGGTGCTCTATAGCCTGGAGCATTCCAGCTGGCCTCTGAACTGGCTGGCTGATGGGTACCTGTTAGGTTACCTGTGGTCTCGACTGAACATGAGCAAAGACCGTGCTGTCCCAGCATGCCTCGTACAGGACTGGGTCTCAGGATGAAGGACAGGGGTCGTGTTTGAGATATTATGCTGCTGGTGTGGAGCACAGAGTGGGCGGTTTTTTCATTTTCTGTGTATATTTTATCGTTTACAGCATGGAATCTGAATGATTGATTTAGGCAGAATGGAGAAGGTGATGTTGATGATTAACAGGCACATGCTGGCACCGAGGTGTAGAGGGATCTTCTGGATGCACTGTCGACACCACAGGCACTACTAAGTGGAAGCTGCCTAGCCCCTTGGTGGCATCCGCTGTCCCTCTGATTCATTCATTTGCTACACTGTTTGGGATGGGTGGCCTTCCTGTCCAAACTCGTCCTCCTTACACTTGCCAGATTCTAAGATTACAATTAGGGTGAAGAATCACAGCTCCCCTTATTTTAGTGTTTGTTTTAACCAAGCATTTTGAAGTCAGGAAAGCTTGCTAGCATGCCTGTAGGAACACTGTTCTCAAGACCAGGGATGAGTGGACTGTGACCTGCCCTCAGTGCCTGTGGTCCAGAGACAGCTGGCCTCCACTCATTGGCCTTCTGGCTCTGGCCTCTCGGTTCTCAGCCTAAGCACCATGCAGCTGAACTCCGGCGTCTGTGCACCCAGACCTCATTTTCTATGAATATTTTTCTTTCTTCAGCTATGTCGTGAGCTCCTATGGTGTGGGGACCTTGGGTTCTTTGTTTCTGCTGCCTGTTAACACTGGCTGTGCTTTGAGGGCAGCTGGAATCTTCTTGTATTTAGTCGTGAACATGCTCTGGCCTCCTGGACCTCACCAGCCAGGCCTCACTTGCTCTGTGTCCTCTGGAGAGGTGCTCTGGGGCTGAAAGCCAGTGGCCTCTCCAGCCTGCAAGCCCCTTCAGGCTGCACAGCCCTCCCCTGGCAGTGCCAAGGTACAGGCCCCTCTCTCAGGAGGTGGCAGGGACAACAGTACTACAGGGTTCGGTGGGCCTGGCTGATGTCTCTGTGCACCTAGGGCTATTCTAAGTCACATGCATTTTGACTTATTAAAAAGGACATTGGATTCAACTTTCAGATCTCTTTACTTGGGTGAGTTGCCCACCCTCTATGCCCTAGTTTCCCCTTCTGGAAGGCAGTCCTCGTGGACCTAACGGGGTCCTGCCCTAGCATGGCCCTTTTATTCAGACCTGGCATTTAATAAGAACTCAGTGTCCATATGCTGCTCTTGAGTGGAAGTAAGAATGTTTCTCTTGTTCTTTCAAATGAAGGCTGAGGCTTGGGAACGCCTCCCAGCAGATGTGTGCTGCCTGTGGGTGCAGCATCAGAGCTTGTCCTGTGGCCACAGCCAGTGAGGACCAGGCCTGGACTTGAGCGCAAGTCAGGTGGAATAGCTGAGGCTGGCCTCCAGTGTGCTCCTCCTGCTTCAGCCTCCCAAGTTGTGTAAGCATACCTGGCAGCATCAGCTATTCCCCATAGTCAAACTGTATGGCAAGTGTACAGTAAATGGATATATTTTTACCTATTCAGCTGCCACAGAAGAGATAACTGATAGCAAATAACGAGTTTGCTCTGAACCCAGGAAGCAGTAGGAGAAGGGTAGCCAGCAGGCAGCGTGCTCCCGCTCCAGCTGTGCTTCTTGCTGGTCGGCTACTCAGCCCTCAGTTTGCTGGGCTGTCAATTGGGGTGCTGGAGTGAGCGTCTTAAAATCGCGTATTTCCCCCCCTAAATAACATCTGCTAAGATATTCAGGAGTCATGGCGCATATCAATCCAGCAGTGTGTGCTAATTATTATCCCACCGCAGGAAGGACAGTGAGTGGCATATAGACCTGTGTGAGCCCTGACAGAAGCAGGGCTGGGACGTGGCTCAGTGGCAGTGTTTACCTAACATGCACAAGGCCCTGAGTTCCATCCCCAACATCACAAAACAGAAAGCGTTGTTGAAGGAGTTACCCTCTCCTTGCAAAATGATGAACGTTTTTTGGAATGACGGAGGAGTAGAATTGAAGACTCGTGGTGGGAAACACTGGCTTTGGTGCCTCGTACCAGGTGAAGCCTGGTGTGCCTCCAAGTGCAGGCTAGTGGACATTCCCTTATCTGGGGCCTGGAAGGATGCTAATGAGGCCAGTGATGCTCACTGGGTGCAGAGTGGAGGGGCGTGCGCTCTTCCGCCTGTGTTTGCATGGACAGGGTCGCAGGTGTGGGGATCATTGCCAGGTCAGATGGGAGCCTGGCCTGACACAGGGGAGGCCCTTTGCCCCTGTGGATCCCCTTTCCCAGGAGGAGAGCTGAGGTGCTGAGCTTGATTATCAGAGAACCCAAGGCTCACCCCAAATACCCAGCACTGCCTGAGAGGAAACTGGGGAGGGCAAAACCAGAGGCCCCCCGGCTCTGCCCCAGCCAGCTGCAGGGAGTTCCTCAAACTCAGCCTCTCTGGTCTTGGATTCTTCCCCTGCAAGGGGCCTCCAACAAGCACCCAATCAAATCTCCTCACTGTGCCTGGGAGCAGGGGCAGAGACCTTTGGGAACTGGGAGCCTTCCCCAGGTCACACTGGTGACTGGTGACCCCAGCTTTTCTGCTGAGCCCTGGGCTTTCCATTCCCTAAACCGACTGCTGCCTCGTGCTGTGCAGAGAGCCTTCCCCGGGGACTCGGAGCCACTTGGCTCAGACCTCTGCTTCTTTGCGGCCTTCGCCACGCACCTTCTGTTGGGCTTTGTGGGACTTTCACAGACTTTTGTAGCTTTTCTCAGTTTGGAAGCATAGTAAACACAATTGCACTGTGATCTTTTGTACCTTAAATGTCTGTGGCATCCCCTTAGAGCTAGCTTGAAAGGAGTGTTCTCACAGAGAACGACACACTAAGATATCAAGCGAGGAAGCTGAGCTGGCCAGCTGCCGCACACAGCCCAAGGGAGAGCATAGATCTACCGCACTTCCCTCTCCCTCCTGGTGTCTCTGCGAGGACCATCTCAGGTTCAAACATCCCCCTCAGGGTCCTCATGAAATAGTTACGGTCCTCTGACTAAATACTTTCTTTTCTTGGCTACATCCTTTATTTTTTTAAACTCTTGATTAAACCCAGCAGTGCTTTACCACTGAGCCACATCCCCAGTCCTTTTTAGTTTTTGAGACAGGATCGCTAAGCTGCTTAGGGCCCCACTAACTTTCTGGTGCCTTCCTTGAACTTGCAACCCTCCAGAGCCGCTGGGATTACAGGCGTGCACTACTGTTCCTGGCTTCTAGACTGTCTCTTTAAAAAATAGAGAATTGAGAAGCTAGCTAGATCTTCTCCTCTTCCTTCCCATGCATTCCTGCTGCAGCAGTCTTTAGAGAGGTGTGGGAACAATGACCTGAGTAGGGGACTCAGAACATGCCGTTTCCTTGCCTAGCTTCATGGAGACAGTTCACTTTGAATTGGCAGAAATAATCGTGTACTTTCAGCAGGGTGTCTGGCTAACCCCCAACATATAATAATTTTTCGTTGTTCATATTGGTTACAAATTGAAGTCTCAAATTAGAATTATGAAAGAAAACCATTATTATAAATGTTATTATACCTAACATGACAACAGATTCAACTTGAGAACATGATGTGAAACTGTTTGTAGATAAAGCTTAGCCTAAAAAATAAAAGTTCTCTCTACCCTAAGTGCATCCATCATTTAACCCACTTTGTCCCATGAGCCCTGATGGCAAACATGTATAAAAACTCAAACAGCAAATATACCACTTTCGGTGGCTTTGAAACAGTTACTGTTTGCAGACCTGGAAACCTGGGACTTCATGGGTTAAAGTCTTTATTCTAATTTAGAAGAGTGAAAGCTCTCTTGCCTTTCCTCTCCTCCCTGGGTGCCAAGTTGCCCAACAGTCAGAGGGGAGCATGGCTGAGCCGGTGCCTGTGGCCAGGTGCGGCGGCTTCCCGGCCTTCCTGCCTGTTCAGACACGCTGTCTCAAGGCATCAGAATGAAGTCTGCCCTGTTCTTTGTGGCACAGTGAAAGACTGAGATTCTTTCTATTGAAATGAAGCAACTGGGACAAAAAAAGAATCCTTTTTTCTTCCTTTGATCTCTTTTAAAGAAATATGGATAAAAGATTAGGAGGCAGACCTAAGTTGGGGTCCTGGGGATCAATTATGAGTGGCCTTGGATTTTGCTCTTCTAATGAAGCCAGGGTGGAAAGCGATCCACTGGATGGATGTGCAACCAAGAGGAGCGCCCAGGAGGGGTAGCAGGCGGCTGGGCTCTGCCTGGGGGACGGGAGGCTGAAGCAGGGGTCCCTCCAGGGCGCGCGCCCCGCCAGGGGCCAGTATCTGGTACAACCCGCATCTGATTTCTGCTTTTCCCTCAAACCCCAGATTGAAGGAGAAGTATAATTACAGTCTTCATCAGCACTGCGTCCCATCCACCGCGGTTTTTAAGATAGTTGAGAGGCTTTCTTACCTTTCAATGTGGGGTGGCTGTCCATTCACCTGTCCAGTGCCTTCCAGCTGTGGCGAGCTCCCCTCCCCTGATGAGGAGTCAGGTGGGATTAAGGCTGGCAGCGAGGTGGGCTTTCTGGTGGGCTGCAGCAGGCAAGCATCTTCTCCCCTGCCAGGGAGGGTTGGGTGCTCCCTGCCCCTCTGAGGCCACCCTCAGCGGCACCCTTTGAAACGCGCCTGCCCAGGAACAACTGGAGAGACCTGCTCTCGATAATGTGCGTGACTCACCTTGAGGAGTAGGTGAGGTTTGTAGATGGTGGAGAGCTTCCTGAACCTGCAGCAATCAGACGGTGACTCACCTGAGCAGCAGAGGCTGCAACCTGAGCATCAGGAGTGGGCTTAAGGGGTGGGTGGCAGCGCTCCGGCTCGGCCTGCTCGCCAGCCCCGTCTTCAGGTCGGGCGGATTTGTTCTGTCTTGTTTTCTCTTTCTTTCTTTCTTTCTTTCTTTCTTTCTTTCTTTCTTTCTTTCTTTCTTTCTTTCTTTCTTTCTTTCTTTCTTTCTTTCTTTCTTTCGTTCTTTTAGAAAATCGTATTTGTAGCCTCCTTGCTGGGTTAATTCTGGATTTAAAAAGGAACAAAAAATATATTTCATGAGAGAAATTCTTTAAAATATTATTACACACATTATTTAGAGAGTAAAATTGAAACGCATTTATAGTAAGTAGCAGTTAATAACTTTTGGAATCCAGTAATGGTATTCTTGAATCTGAGGAAATTTGTAGAATATTTTCACACATATACCAATATAACTATCCAAAGTATTCTAAAATAAAGGTAACCTAGAGACTGGTTCACTGAATCCCATGAATGTTATTCTTCAAAATGAAAAAATAATTTAATTCTTTCTGAAGAGCACATCACAGTGATAAATTTATATAATATACTTTTAAAAAATTTAATTAATTTTAGAACTTTCAAAAAGATCTCAAGTTCTGGTATTTGTTTGAATGCAACATTTTAAATAAGTTAATTTAACCAAATGGAATCAATACTTATGACTATTTGTTATAAATGAAGATAAATTAAAATCAAATGTCAGGTGAAAACATTTTTCATGCTAGTACATCTGTAATACGTATTAGTGTGTGCTTATGACTTAAGGAAATAATAAATATATATTTATTATAATAAATAAAAAAAATAGTTGGTTCTCCTTCTGTGTACCGAAAAGCAAATATGTCCAGTTGCCAGTATTGGGGTATCAAAATTATATTCCTTCAGTTGCCTTTTCCTGAACACACAAATGCAGAAAACTACAAGGTTAGTATTTTTCCATTCTGAGTGGGGTGGGGTTTGTGTGTCATGACCTAGCGAAGGCCTCCGAATGGAAGTTGGCCTAATCTTGTGTGCATGTCCTGGGGTAACCTGCAGTTTTTTGCTGGGGCTGAGGCTGTCTGCACAGCTTTGTGTTTTGCCTGGAACATGTGCAGCCTGTCCATGCCTTTGAGCAGCAGGGTCATGCCCTGCAGACCTTCTTTTGGATTGAACTTTTTCTTTTTATCATGGTGCATAAAGAATGAATGATCTGGGCTGTGCTGTAGCTCATTGGTAGAGCTCCTGCCTTGCACGTGTGAGGCACTGGGTTCGACCCTCAGCACCACATAAAAATAAATAAAGATATTGTGTCCAACTAAAACTAAAAAAAAAAATTAAAAAAAAAAAAGAGAATGAATGATCTGCTGCTCATTGTTCAGTAGCTTGCTGGCAGAACAACTGCCAAGTCTTAAGAGCATCAATTCAAAGGGAGACATCCCTGCAACCTTTCCAAGCATGCTGAGCAAAAGTCTACATGTTCTTAGGACTGCCAGTCACATTCCCAGGAGAGATGGCATAGTAGGGACCTTCCCAAGATGTTATTCGACAGGCTTCCCTTACATGAATATAGCCATTTCTGCTCTGTTATGAACTTCAAGTTTTAATACCTGGGTTGACTTTCTTACTTGGGTCAGTGATCTTTTTTTTTTTTTTTTTTAACTTTAAGGAAAATGCCCCCCCCCCCCACACACACACCTACTGATGGTTTTGATTTTTTTCCTTAATTATAAATTTGAAAGGAAAATGTTTTGGTAACTCAATATTTTATCACCTGGATTTAAGTGGCCTTTTAAAAAAGGTGAAGTGCAAGAGGGTTGGGATGGGCCCTTCTCACCCTGAAGGCCTCTCCAGGTCCTTGGGTGTCTGTCTAGGTCCTTGGGTGTGTGTCCAGGCTCCTGGCTGTGTGTGGTGGCTGCTTAGGAGGGCAGGGCTGTGTCCTTCCCTGGGATAGGCCTGGGGCAGAGCAGGCCTCCCCTCCTCACTAGCCAGTAGCCAGGCGAGCCCTGTCTGGGGACAGTAGCTGTGTCCACCTCCGGCTGTCGGTGCACACCAAGTCTGGTAATGTCCAAGTTCACCCAAGTCAGCCTTAGTGCAGCAGTCTCCCTGTGGTGCCTTATGCCAGTCTCAAGCCAGGGCGAGTTGCAGCTGGTCTTACCTGACATTCGAAAAGGGAAATCCTTCATGTTTAGCCACAAAAGAAGTGCAGGCCTTGAGAACAGTGGCCAGCAACCAGCCCATAACTTTGTAAGTGTTCACTTCATCGAAAGGTAAACCAGTGGAGTTTTTATTTCTGTTGATTTTTATAGCAAGTCTCACATTTCATAAAAGCCTTGGGAGATTTTATAGTAATAACTGCTTTGCTGCTTCGTTGGAAGATCTTGGTAAATGCAGGGTGGCGTTTTAGTAATGCTATTTAGCCCATTCAAATCTCAAATTTATTTTGAATACAAGACATCCTTTGTGTCTATGTGTGCATTTATGCCACCATAATGCTTAGATTTTTTTTTAAAATTCCTTTTTGTTTCAGCTAAGAGTGGTATTATTTCCTCTTGGAATTATTTTTAAAGCTGTTAAACCCACACATCAGGTGAAGGAGTGGTTCAGTCAGATTTACCAGTTGCTGCCGTTTTTCACACAGTCCTCACCCCACCCACACTCATACATACATTTTTTTGGGGAAATGTGTTTTAAGGTGCAATGGATCAAACTTACCTTTAGCATGTGTTTCCAAAAAAGCAATATGTATTTTCTTACTTTATCATAATAGTATTATAAGTCCAGATAATAATGTTGAGATAATGAATAAAGACATACTCCCATGTGAAAATTTTGACAATTTTTAATGTTATCTTTTAGCCTTTTTTTTTTTTTTGAAGTGCAATTCAGTCATCACATGTTACATTTGGTTTGATGCTGTATAGACTCTTTAATTCTTTAGGTTAATTCCTCTACTTTTTTATTTTTACTTTCCCATTAATCCTTCTGAACTTTTAAAAATTTTTTTCCTTTTTGTGGTACTGAAGATTAAACCCAGGGGGAGCTCTGCAGTGGGCACCCCCAAACTACATCCCGGCCCTTTTTATTTAGAGACAGGGGCTCACTAAGTTGCTTAGGACCTCACTAAATTGCTGAGTCTGACCTTGAACTTTGAATCCTGCCTTAGTCTCCTGAGTCACTGGAATTACCTGTGTGGTCCACTGTGCTTGGCTCCTCTTGGCTTTTGAAATCTGTGTCTGCCAAGTCCATCCAGGGGGTTGTGTAGCAGGAGGGGCTTCAAGACTCTGGGTCCTTAGACATGTCAAGCTGTCCACATCAGGATTTAGAATTTGACATGGGAAGGGGATGTCTATAAGCCTTTTAAGTCTTTAAGCCTGGTTCTTAGATTACTAACTGACAAGTCCTAGAACAAAATTCTATTTTTTTTTTTAATACTGGGTGGCTCATTCAACTTTTCTTGGGTTCAGTGTCTATTAAATGACCTACTTTGAACCTAGATATTTGGATGATAAATCTCATAACCTCACTGACTTCTCAAAACATAGTCTTCAATAGACAGAGGTGCCAGGGGGGAGAGGTGTTTCTCACATCTCCCATAGAATTGGAATTGGCTGAGGGGACAGGTGGGCTTCTCAGTCCTGAAGTGAGCTCTTTGTTTCTGCCCCTCGCCTGTGTCTGTAAGTCCTTGGGCAGCTGTCCTTGGGCTGCTTGGTCTCCGGGAGGCTCGTCCATGGCCTCAACTTCTTTCTCTCCTCCCTTCTTTACTTGGCATTGGTGTGAACTGGGGACAGTGTCCCCTCCAGTGCCTAGCATTTGTGTTGTGACCTCATTGTTCTCTGTCACTGTAATCTCAGACATAGCCATTTCTTCAAGGAAATGCTCATGAAGGCTGTCGAAGACCTTGATAGCACAGTAACTAATTATTACTAAAGACGAGAGGGTTGTCACTGAAACCTAGCTCTAGGGATTTCTCTTGAATCCCATGCCTTTTCCACATAGCCTGAGCCTACAACAAGGACTGCAGTGAAATCTTCACCAGGTCCTACTGGTCCATCTCTGCGCACAAAGCCATTCTAATCCTGACTCACACCCAGGGTGCCATGTGTAATTATCACAAACCCTTTAATGTGCCTTTGAAGAGATCGCTATCTTTGGTCCCTGTGGCTTGAATTACTGTGTTTAATCTGTCACCTGGAATGATTTGCATCTGTCAGGTTGGCTTCAAATAAAGTACTTGCCTCTTCTGGCTTGAGAACTCTACATGGAATGGTGGACGAAAGGGGCTGATGAACTGGACCTGAGTCTGAGCTGGCCTGCGTCTGGCCCCTGCCCCTCGCCCCTGCCCCTCGCCCCTGCCCCTCGCCCCTGCCCCGTGGTGATATTCCCTTTGAGGCTGGCCACTTACTTCATCCAGGTCCAGCTGTGGGCAGGTTGCTCATGAGAGGCCGTGTTAGGCTGCGGCAGGACTAGACCAGGCCAGGTGGACTCCAGAGTGCAGGGCTGAGTAGCCATTCACTGTGGGCAAAGCCAGCAGGAAGCCGATCCCTGCCCAGCAGGGAGCCTGGGGAGGCCTCCTGGGGGAGGGAACCTCAAGGGAGCCTGCACAGGGACCATTGCCGGGAGCTCTGTGGTGCCTAGGGAGCCAGCAATGCTTTCTTGTTGAAAGGCCAAGGGAGAGTGAAGGGGTGAACTGACAGGCAGAGTCTGTGTGCACGGTGAGGTCTGAATGCTTAGAAGCTGAGCGCCTACCTCAGCCCAGGGCTTAAGGTGTTTCCCCGATACTTGGTTTGCCTTGAGAACGTTCCTAGGTTCCCTTTAAGTGATAAAATTAATAGTCCTTGAAATACTTTCTGTGATCTATACTGACAGTTTTCTCTTCTACTGAGGAGGAAATCCACCCCCACTCTGGAATGGTGGTAAGGTAAGGCCGAGTCGGGGACCCATGGGAGCAGGGAGTGTTGCTCACAGTGCAGGCATTCCTGGTTTGAAGAAATACAGTTACACAGCAACTGGAAAGATAAAAACATTAATAGAATATAAATTTAATAAATCC